TTCCTTTAATTTTTTTTAGCAGTGTATACCTATAAACTACATCTATGTAAATAAACAAGGCTCACTGGATCTAGTAGGTGATCACGGAGCAGTGCAAGAAATTGATTTACTTATTTCTCAAATATGCAAGGCTAGGTGATTGTTTTGGAAAATCCCACCAATGTTACAGATACAGCTTTCTAAAAAATAGTTTCTTTGCTGTAAATGTTTACCTGTAAATCTTTCGGAAAAATTCTTGAAGGATCTGGAATTTGAGGGCAGAGGAGGGCCTTCAGTCTGTGTAAAGAGAACAAGGATTGTGAACACAAAAAACTGCCGACAGTAAATTAATTTTTTGTATACTTTTAGACTATCTACAGTGGTGCTTGGACATCCATAAATAACTGCAAATTAAAATACTCATTGGTTATTCAAAGCCAATCACAATAATTTAATTTATTGGAGTTATCAGTCCTTATCAGCAAGTTTAAAACCCAGCCTGGGTGACAGTCATGGCTCCCTCCATACATACAATGGAGGAGTAAGCGTAGCTACTCTAGGACAGGAAGTGCATTATTCTCAAGATTGCTAGGTGAAAACTATTGGAAGGAATAAGAGGCCATGTCTAAGAATTTGCTGATGAAAATATTATCATTAGTAGTAGCAAACATGGATTTATGAAAGACAGTTCTTGCTGGACCAACCTTTTAACATTTTATGAGGAGGTAAGTTGTAATTTGGATAGGGGCCTTTGGATGTAGTATACCTAGATTTCTCTAAGGTATTTGATACGGTACCCTATAGATGCTTAATCTATAGATTAAGGTCTTTTGGCATTGATGAGATTGTATGTACCTGTTGCAGTAGCGCGTCCGGAGGGTGGTGATTAAATGGTATATTTTCTGAATGGTCTGGAGTTAGGTGAGTGGTGTACTCTAGGGCTCTGTTCTGGCACCAATTCTGTTTAATTCTTTGAACACTTTTCTGGTTTATAGACTATTGATATTATTATGTTCTTATTTGGCGCTTGATAATACCCCACATTCACTTGCATTTATGTAATACAGATTATTATTGGTGACATAATTTCTCATTATAAGCATTTTCAGCACTGCACTTTTTATTGATTGATGTTCACTAGGTTTTAGGGTTCCTACATTGGTGCATATGCAGCTGGTTACACTTTTTATTTATATATTTATTTATTTATTCTGTTTTGAGCGCTCACTGTATTCTTATTATTCTATTTGAAATTTTAATTTCAAAATTTAAAATTCGAATGTCAAAATTCAAAATGTTAATTTTAGAAGGTGGTCATATTCTTTCTATTTTATTCTATTCTATTTGAAAGTAGACTGCTATATTCTCTCTATTTTATTCTATTCTATTCAAAATTAGAATTTTGGAAGATGGCTATATTGTATTTTATTCTATTCTGTTTTTGTTTTATTCTTTTCTATTCAATCCTGTTCTTTTTTTCTATTGTATTCCTTTATTTTCTATTCTATTTTATTCTTTTATATTCCTTTCTATTCTGTTCTATTCTATTTTATTCTATTCTTTTATATTCTATTTTATTCTATTCTTTTGTAGTCTGTTCTACAAATCAGCCTAAATAGGAATCATCATCTCATTTTTATTTTCTATTCTCTTCAATTCTGTTATTATTCTATTCTATTATTTTCCATTCTAAATTATTCTGTTCTATTCTTTTCTATAAAGCAGTCTAAGTAGGAATCATAATCTTATTTCACTTTTATACCTTACTGTATTTATTGCAATATGTTTCCATTTCAAATTCATTTTCAAACTGTAATTCATTTTTTTATTCAAATTTGGAAAATGTGTTTCGTTATAACTTATTCCAGAATCCTTGAAATTCATTACTGTTGTGATTTGGAATCTCTGATACATCCAAATTAAGAAAATGTTATCCAAATTTTGATTAATAATTAAACGAATTGCATGTCTATTCTCTGCAAGCTCTACCCTCCCACTGTCTATGCTACATTTCCTGCCAGGTCTTTCCATCTGCTCTTTGTTTCCTTCCAGGTCTAGTTCCACATTCAGTTTACATTGGCTGCCCCCAAGATTAGTTTTAGTGAAACTAAACTCTGAAATAATTCCTGACAAGGCAATAATGCATAGTGTTTTATGAAACATTCAAAAAGCCAATAATCATTCAGCCTGAATGAACCCATTCTTGGATGAGCACATCTCTGCTAGTTAAAAAAAAAAAACAAACTTACGTTCCCATATGGACAAGTAGGAAAACTGCTGCTATTATCACTACAATTGAAATGATGAGAGGTAAAATTATAGATGTTAATCCTACGTCAGTTTTCCCTAGAAAACAACCAGAAACAAGCAATTCAAAATCTACATACAAGAAATATACTGTGCTATTAAGAAAAAAAGATAATCCAAACTTAGATTCAAAAGTAGATCTATAAAATATTAACATCATTAATATTGAAAGATGAAAGATGTTTTATTATTACCTTTCACATTTAACACAATACATTAAAGAATACATTTAAGAGAATAATTTTGAAATGGTACTGAATGACATTAGTCAGTTTATGGAGGAAAATGTTCATGTAAACAGAATTGCTCAGTTAATCTGCAGCCACAAATACATACAGTATATCAAGAAGATGTGATGCCGGCAAAATATTTAGAGAATAGATCACGGCATGAAAAACACTTTTTCTTTTATTTCGTTTTTTATTTGTTTTAGCAGCAAAAGTCTTACATTTTGTGTTATAACTGGGAGACAAATTTTAACAAAGATAAAATTTTCTTCATGTTAGAAATGTATAGCCTCAGGGAAAACTTTTTCCTGTTTTGGGTACAGCATGGAAGGTTTAAAATTTCAGTTTTCTATTGCTGTTTGTGTCCCTAGTTAGGACATTAGTTCTTAGTATTCTAATATCCATTGTCATTAGGAGAGGAGGTGTGGGGAAATGTGTACATTACAGATGTCATTGTACAGGCGTCCATTGAATCTTCCAACAGGAACAGGTTGGTGGCAGCTGTCAAAAAATATTGGATTTCCTCTTTTCTTTACAGATATAACGTAAAAAAAACTTTAGTTGGTGTTCCACTTTTAAAGTTCTCTAGTAGAGACATGGGGGTCGCTAGCACACGGTACATGCCCTGCATCTCTTGCTTGGTGTGCCAAATCGTAATATTGCTACCACCCCGTCAACATGTTGGTATAGGGGTATCCATATTTGTTGTGTACAGAGGAGCAAGAGGAGGGCAGCCTTAAAGCAGAGTTCCACTCACCCTGTCAAAAAATAAAAGTCAGCAGCTACAAAAACTGTAGCTGCTGATTTTTAAAAACCCAGCCACTTACCTGTCCCTCGGTCCCGTGGTGTGTGTCCCCACAGCCCGTTTCACTGGCCGTCCTGTATTCCAGGAGGCCGGCATCTTCAGTGTGGGCACCTGACTGTGATAGCTTGCGGCTTCAAAGCCGGGTATCCAGGGCGCATGCGCAAGTAGCTCTGCGCTTCATGAATGGTCCTGTAGTCTTCTGGGACCTGTCACATGTCCCACAAGACTACATGGAGGAAGGGAGGGAGGACACCTTCTGTTTCCGATCGCCTAGGCGATCGGACCGGAAGTGGGAGAGGGTACCTGTCAAATTCGGGTACCCGCTCCCCCCTGCCCCCCAAAGGTGACAATCCTTAATGGGGAGTGGGGGAGCAGTCCTTAAAGCAGAACTTCCCCTTTTGGGTGGAGCTCCACTTTAAACAGGGCCCAGCCTATCATGACACTCATCCCCAACATGCTGCACCCATGCTTTCCTACTGGCAGGAGTGAGGATAAGGAACTGAAGAGGCTGGAGCAGGGACGGACTGACAACCCATGGGGCCCCCGGGCAATAGGGGATCATGGGGCCCCTGTGTCCTTGCCCAAACTCAAAAAAGCCTATGAAAAAGGTACCAGGGGCATCTCATGGGGCCCACTACTGACCCCGGGCCCTCAGGCAGTGCCGAGTTTCCAAATGGTCAGCCCGCCCCTGGGCTGGAGGGATGGTCCGTTACGCTACCAGAGGGGTAAGCGATAGTGTGTGTGTGTATATATATATAAATATATATACACAGGCGTACCTCGGTTTATGAATGCCTCGGTTAGCATAATTTTTGGTTTACGAATGAAAATACATTGAAAATAATGACTCGGTATACAAATTTTTCACAATATGAATGGATTAATTGGTTTTCAATGCATTTACAATTTTTTTTTTTAAATCATGTCCCTATGCCTTTAAGGTGCACTTTATAAAGAGCTTTGAACAGATAAGACTTTTTTTTCTTTTTTTTCTGACCTCCAGAACAGATTAGTTGGCTTTCAATGCATTTACGAATTTTTTTTTAATCATGCCCATTATGCCTTTAACCACTTCCAGACCAGACACTTTCACCCCCTTCCTGACCAGGGCAATTTTCAGGTTTCAGCGCTATCACACTTTGAATGACAATTGCGCGGTCATGCAACACTGTACCCAAATGAATTTTTTACCATTTTTTTGAGACAGATAAAGCTTTATTTTGGTGGTATTTATTCACCGCTGGGATTTTAATTTTTTTTGCTATGTAAATGAAAAAGTCCAAAAATGTAAAAAAAAAAGTGTGTGTTTTTTATAAAATTTTGCAAATAAATAATATTTCATCATAAATCTTTGCCAAAATTTATTCCGTTATCTTTTCAGTAAAAAAAAAATCCAAATTAGTTTATAACCAAAAATTATAATTTTAAACATTTTTTTTACATTTTTATTTTATTTTTTTATATTAATTTTTATTTTTATTTTTTTTTTACATACTGTCACCCTAGCAGTACAGTGTCACCACGGTGACACTGTACTACTTGTGTGGGGTGATGAAGATTTTTTTTTTTTTTACACTGATTGCTTTTACACCCATATAGGATGTAAAAGCAATCATTTTTCTTTCTCTCTGTGTGCATTCTTGAACTCATTGAGAAGTACTGAGTGAGCTGTGATTGGTCACAGCTTGTCACATGGTACAAGGCTGTTGTGAATAGCCTTGTACCATGTGACCTCTGTGATCATTCACAGATTTCACACGTAGTAAGCAATGATGTCACAAGTGACATCTTGCTTACTACTTTGCATGTGATCACTGATTGGCCAATCAGTGATCACATGATCGGGACCTCGTACAGAGGTCCTGTCCGACGATCGGTGTTTCACTGTGTACGGAGGACACAGCGGGCACCAGATCGCAGTGCTGCATGCTCCGAGGGAGCGCGCACAAGCAGGGTGCGGGGAGGCCGTTTATAAACGGCCACCCGACTCTGCACTGCCACCGTCCGGCCGTTTATATGCAACTGCCGGTCGGGAAGTGGTTAAAGTGCACTTCATAAAGAGTTTTGAACAGATACAACTTTTTTGACTTTTTTCTGACCTCCAGAAAGGATTAATTGGTTTTCAATGCATTTACGAATTAATTTTTAATCATGTCCCTGTACAGTATTTATGCCTTTAAAGTGCACTTTATAAAGTTTTGAACAGAAAAAATACTTTTTTTTAAAAGAAAAATGTTCTGACCTCCTGAATGGCTTAATTGGTTTTCAGTGCGTTCCTATGGGAAACTGCGTTTCGGTTTATGAATTTTTTGCAATACGAAAGTCCCGCAGAACGCATTAAATTTTTAAACTGAGTTACGTCTGTGTGTGTGTGTGTATATATATATATACAGTTGTGTCCAAAATTATTCAACCCCCAATGCTGTAAAGGGGTTTAGGGACTATAGTGTACATTTGGAATTGTATTCAGAATCAAATCCTACAAGGACGTTGTAACTACCCAAATGCAACTAAAATGACATCAATTGTTTATGTAATACAGTAGTAAATGGTTCTTATGTGGTTTCTTCATTGCCACAATTATTCAACCCCTTAAAGACTACCACTCTGAAGAACAGAGGTTCATACAGGTGCTTTCCATCAGGTATTGAAAACACCTGTGGATGTCACCGAGCAGCAATCAAGCATAATAAGCACCAATTAGGCAGCTTTAAAATGACTGTGATACTCAGCTCCTTCTAGACATTTACTGGTGTGGTTACAAACATGGTGAAGGCAAGAGAATGGTCCAGGAAGACAAGAGAAGAGGTGATTTCTCTTCACAGGAAGGGCAATGGCTATAAGAAGATTGCAAAGATGTTAAACATACCAAGAGACACCTTAGGAAGCATCATTCGCAAATTCAAGGCAAAGGGCACTGTTGAAACGCTACCTGGTCGTGGCAGAAAGAAGATGCTGACTTCGACTGCTGTGCGCTACCTGAAGCGTAGAGTGGAGAGAAGTCCCCGTGTGACTGCTGAGGAACTGAGAAAAGATTTGTCAGATGTGGGTACAGAAGTTTCAGCCCAGACAATAAGACGCACACTGCGTAATGAAGGCCTCCGTGCCAGAACTCCCAGGCGTACCCCCTTGCTGTCTCCAAAGAATAAGAAGAGTCGACTGCAGTATGCCAAAAGCCATGTGGACAAACCACAAAAGTTGTGGGATAGTGTTCTGTGGACTGATGAAACAAAATTAGAACTGTTTGGGCCCATGGATCAACGCTATGTTTGGAGGAGGAAGAACAAGGCCTATGATGAAAAGAACACCTTGCCTACTGTGAAGCATGGTGGAGGGTCAATCATGCTTTGGGGCTGTTTTGCTTCTGCAGGTACAGGGAAGCTTCAGCGTGTGCAAGGTACCATGAATTCTCTTCAGTACCAGGAGATATTGGATGGAAACGTGATGCAGTCCGTCACACACCTGAGGCTTGGGAGACGTTGGACCTTTCAACAGGACAATGATCCCAAGCATACCTCCAAGTCCACTAGAGCATGGTTGCAGAGGAAAGGCTGGAACATTTTGGAGTGGCCATCGCAGTCACCAGACTTAAATCCGATTGAGAACCTCTGGTGGGACTTAAAGAAAGCAGTTGCAGTGCGCAAGCCTAAGAATGTGACTGAACTGGAGGCCTTTGCCCATGAAGAATGGGCGAAGATACCCGTAGATCGCTGCAAGACACTTGTGTCAAGCTATGCTTCACGTTTAAAAGCTGTTATAACTGTAAAAGGATGCTGTACTAAGTACTAAGATTGAATGTCACTTGGGGGTTGAATAAAACTGATAATGCTGTGAGCACAGAAAGACATTTGTGGTTATTTCATTATAACTGTTATGTTATATTTGTCTGACCTACAAGTGCCTCTTTAATGTAAATGTAAGCAAGATGACTGAATGATCAAAAGCAATGTCAAACTGGCCAAAACACTCAATTTCAGTGGGGGTTGAATAATTTTGGACACAACTGTATATATATATATACACCCACAGTGCCTTGAAAAGTATTCATACCCCTTAAAATTTTCCACATTTTGTCATGTTATAATCAAAAGTGTAAACACAAACAAGTCACTACTGCGCTGCTCTTCTGATGATAACCCCTTAGGCTGGCAATTGGAAATGGAAGGAAGGATATTGCAGCTCACCAAAAACTCCACATGGTGGCAGAAGTAAATCTGAACAGTATGACAGAAGACAGACAGCGCACAACCGCCCTAGTGTAATTCCATTTATTAAAGGTAAAAAGGCATAAAAGTGATTGCACTCACATGGTACAATGAGATTGAGGCACTCTCAGTGTAATAGTATCCTCTATATCTTCCTAGTATCGTGGGCATCAATGTGGTCATCAGCTGGGGGCTGAGCAGCTCCTCTGACAACCAGAATGACATGTCGTAGCGTTCCGTCACTACTGTGCATGTGCCCGGACCAGCTGGCAAACACTCAATGGATACTTCTCACAACTACAAAAGAAAAGGATGAGGACGTGGTCGCTATGATGCATTTTTGATGCGTGGCCTCCTTTGTCAAGTCACACCCACCTGCGGCCCCCAGTGCCTCCTATATGATCCTTTGAGCTGTTTTACAAAGAAAAATGGACAAAACTTTCACTCCCTAGATGTGCACAGCTAACAGAGACATACCCCAAAAAAGACTTGCAGTTGTAATTGCAGCGAAAGGTGGTTCTACAAAGTATTGACTCAGGGGGCTGATTACAAAAAGCACGCCACACTTTTCAGATGTTTATTTGTAAAAAATTTTGAAAACCATTTATCATTTTCCTTCCACTTCACAATTATGTGCCACACTTTCTGTTGGTCTATCACATAAAATCCCAATAAAATACATTTACGTTTTTGGTTATAACATGACAAAATGTGGAAAATTTCAAGGGGTATGGATACTTTTTTAAGGTAGTGTGTGTGTGTGTGTGTGTGTATGTGTGTGTATATACCTCAAAATAATTAAAGGGACACATTAGTCAGAGTATAGAATCAAGTCAGTTGAACTCCTTGGATATTGATCTGGTCAGTTAAGTAGCAGAGGGGGTTTTCAGATGCTTTGGTGTTAATTAAATTAACTACAGGTGCACTAGATGGGCAGCAATGAGATGACCCCCAAAACAGGAATGGTTTTACAGGTGGAGGCAACTGATATTTTTCCTACTCCTCTTTTCTGACTGTTTTTCACTAATTTTGCATAGGGTCAGTGGTAGCATGAGGAAATACCTGGTCTCTACAGAGGTTGCACAGGCAGTTCAACTCCTCCAGGATGTACACACACACACACAGTATATACTGTGTGTACTGCTGTGCTATAAAGGGTGGCGGCAGGGACGTATTTAACACAAGGCAAACAGGGCACTTGCCTAGGGCAGCACTTACCCCCAGAAGAAGGGAGGAATGAAGGGACACGCACACCATGGGAACCAGGTGGGATCCTAGAGAGGCTGCTGGCTGCTTGATGGTGTATGACCCCCTGCAAACTGAACAATGCCTTGTACAGTATACTTCTAACTAAAGTGCTTTTTGTCTCAGCAGTTGCCCATTGCTAAATTACCCCAAGTATTTTTTAATGTATGTTACTCTAACATTTCATATTCCTGATATGTGTCCATGTAACTATGTACTTGTATTAAAAAGTATTGGGATGCAGATTTGAACTTACTGTTGGATCCAGAGGATTGGCAAACTATATGGCAAGCAGTAATTAAAACCTTTTTAGAAATTTTCCAAAAATGAGTATATTCCTAAAGTGCTGTACAGATGTTAATACAACCCAGCACGTATAGGCTGATTTCTTCCAAATTATTTTTCTATTTCTTTCTGAGGGCCGTGGCTTTGAAGGCACCATGACCCACATGTGGTGAACAGACTTTAAGGATCAGTAATGTAATTTGCTCCTTAATGAAAAAAAAAATCCTATGAAGCTTTTTAATGAACAAACGGATACCAGAAATTTCAGAGAGTGCTGATCACCCATGTGTTGGCTGCCACCAGATTAACAATAGCCAGAGCATGTAAACCCCGCACACAAAGCTTCAAGGCAGTTAAAAAAAGGCTTATGGATATTATGATTAACAAAAAAAAACTTACAGGCTTTCTGGTAGAATCTCAGTCCAAATTCCTCCAGATTTGGCAAGCAGATTTTGGCTACTCACAACCCCAAGGATTTAATCACTCTCCCCTATCACAGCGTGAGGAGAGTACTGCTGATAACCGGCAATTATCAGAGAAGTGATCAGCACTGATCCTCAGGGCACTGATCATCAGTGCTCTGATGATCAGTGCCCAGCAGTGCTGCCCACCTGTGCCTAGCAGTGCCACCCACCTGTTCCCATCAGTGCTGCCTATCAGTGCAGCCTCATCAACGCACATCAGTGAAGGAGAAAAATTACCTGTTTGCTAAATGTTATAATAGAAACAAAGAAAAAACTTTTTTTTTGTTTATAGCCCAAAAACTAAAACACCCAGCGGTGATTGAATACCACCAAAAGAAAGCTCTATTTGTGTGAAAAAAAATTATATCAATTTCATATGGGTACAGTGTAGCATAACCGCGCAATTGTCATTCAAACTGTGACAGCGCTGAAAGCTGAAAATTGGCCTGAGCAGGTAAGGGGTTAAAAGTGCCCAGTAGGCAAGTAGTTAAAAGCTTATGTATCACCCTGGTCACATCGGGTGTGACTTGGCATGCGATTTGCATGCCATATGACTTGCAAAT